AAATTAAATACGTAGAACATTATTGACTCATTAACATTACCAAAATAATTAAACGTTACTAAAATTATAAATTAAAAATATATCAAAATTATTATAAGTTTTCTTTTAACAACCAATGACTGATTTTCCTTGTATAAAAGAGACTTTCTATATGGTGTATAATTAGATTTTGATCTTATTTTTGAAAGTGAATTGTTTTTTCTATATTTTGAAATTTAAAAGGGGATTTGAAGATTGATAGTTTATATGGTCAATCTTGATTATTTTTATGAACTATTTGGAATATTGAATATTAACGATGAGAATATAATATTGATCTTCATTCTTGATATGGAAACACACACATTACGATATTGACTTTCCTTTTTAAATGATGGGAATATGATCAATGATATTATGATTGACGCATTCTCATTAAAAGTGTTTTTAAATAGGTGATTAGCATTAGATTTTGGATCATTATTTTTGGAAGAGATTTTTTTTGAACTATTTGAAATATTGAATATTGACGATGAGAATATAAAAGTGTTTTTAAATAGGTGATTATAATTAGATTTTGATCATTATTTTTGAAAGGGATTTGTTTTTTATATATTTTGAAATTTAAAAGGGGATTTGAAAATTAACCCTATTTTTGTATACCATAATTATAATTTCGTTTCTATACAAATCATGTTCGTATTATACGTATATAATGATATAATTATGGTGTGTATAAAATATGGCTTTATAGACTTCATGATTATTGATAAAATTCCTAATATAATCAAATTGAAATTCGGTACGAAAACTGTGATTTTCTATATATAAATCGTAATTACAACTATAATCAAAATGAAATCTGGTGCGAAAATAGAAATGTGATTTAATATCTATATGATGACATATTATTAGTAATATGAAAAATTTGTATACATATTACTATTGTCTAGATGATGATATATTACTAACTAGTGGTCCGTCCGCGCTGCGCGCGGGTTATCAGATATTTGTATTATTTAAAAATTTTAAATTATTTCTTGATTTGTAATGTAATATTTTTATTGTGTTTTGTTTATGAGAATGGTCTATTATGATATCAATGTGATGGCATTAGGGTTAAATGGTGGACATTTGGAAATTATTTTAAAATTCTTGAGTCATAGATGTTATTTTTTTGTTTGAAAATTTTTATTTTTTTCAGGATCAGAGATAATAGCTATGAGAATATTTTTCATAAAAATTTATTTGAAAACAAAGTCTAACAATTTATTCTAAAAGCAAAATTAAACAGAACCTTTGGAAGAAACTGAAGAGGAACATAAATGTTCAACTTACAGTGAGAAACAAAACAAATAAATCAAAAGTGGAAGGAGTACGTCATCATGTTAATGGAAAGCACGTTTCCCGTATAGGCCTTGTTTTAGTTAAGGTGATCACTGAAGCCCATTATCCTTTTGTAGAACTCGGTTACCAAAAAGAAGTGGAAACAGTTGGAGCAAACCGTGATCTCCGTCCCCTGTTGAGGATGGCAGTTCCGGGGTGGCCACATCTTCTTTAGTGAGGTAAGACATATATCCTTCATGTGAAATTGGAGGTGCTCAAGAGATTGTTGAAAAATCGCCATACAATCTTCTAGTACTGGAATACCTTGCTCACCAGTGAGTTTGTTAATGTTTTAAACCCCTAAGTCAGTTTCGCCGATGGCCATAAGGAGGACACTGTAAACGTACCTTCCTCAGAGGTGACCACCATTTGAGGCAATGAGGATATGATGTAGACCTAGGGACTGATTTCGAGTTTCGAATAATTCTAGCATGCCTTTAACATAGTGAGCGTCAAAATTGTTCGCGTTGAGACAGTTTTGCACCAACTTTTGTTACCGATGAGCTAGAGCAAGCTTCTTCACCAAAGGTGAGAGGTTGAGATCCTTTGCAACAAAGAAGTTCTCAGAACTGAAACTGAGGGTTTTGGATGTCATAATTGTGTTGAAGTAATCGGTGGGGGGGGGTCATAGCCTACTTTGGAAACAATTAGGAGACGCATGTATTCGGGCATGAATTCAAGGGTGAGGGTATTATGTTGTTTTGGATTCATGAAACTCATCGGAAAATGATAGAGTTTTTTTTTTATTCTAACGCTGTCCTTATTAGTTTATTTGTGTTGTGCACTTGTTTATATAGGACGTTGGACACGGTGTTGATTGTAACGTCGTTTACGTTTTTAAATATAATTATTGGAAGCCATAATTTTACGTTGAATTTCTTTGCGGTTTGATTGTTATTATTTATGTTGTACCGTTGCATGTATGCTGAGTGGGTTGATGTGTAATTTATGGTTATTAAAAATTAACCGACCGGATTTCCTTATGATTTTACTTGGTTTTAATACTTATAATATAATTTGAAAGGTAATTTATAAGTGGGTATCGAATAAACCTTTTTTGGTTTGCTTGACATTAGATAAGTTTGTATTTGTTGCAAACGCCATAGATTTGTGGAATAATTTTAAAATTATTTTGAGGGTTTGATTTACATTTTTAGGTATTTATTATCATTATCTGAAATATCTAAATAGATGTGTCTGTAACGTGGCATTGAACGCAAAAAAGATTTTGGTATTATAGATGATTTATGCCATTATTTGCTGTGTTTCCGTTTTAACAACAAAACTTAAAAAAAATTTGGGCCTCTACCACACAAAATAGCCAGCCCAACAACAACCACAAAACCGACAAACAGAAAACCAATTGAAACCGAAACGGGTGAGATAAATTTTGTTTGGTCTATTTGGTTTAGGTTATTGCTGACATGGCTTTTTTTGCCCCCCTCACAAATGCTGATGTGGATGCATGAGAAGGGAGAGAAGCCTACTATATGAGGATGCATAAACAGCCTGAGAATCTTAATCTCCCTCCCCATTGTAAGGAAGAAAGGAACACACATCCAGATAATCAAAGGCAAGTCATTTAGAACATACAAAGCTAGAGAGCTTAATGTGTTTACCTTTGTCTTCCATTTGCATGTTATTGATCTTACGGCGATTGAGGAATTTGAAAGCAACCTTGTGGCCAGTGAGTAAGATGCTCAGCAATTTTAACCTTGCCAAAAGAATCAATGCCAAATCTATTTGATGAATGGTCCATTTAATTCCTCCTGTCCTAATGATGCAAATTAGAAAGTCATTAGCAAAAGCTCTCTCTCTCTCTCTCTTAACAGCGTCTATAAACAAAGACCATAATGATCGTCTCGTATTCATATAATCCTATGTATGGCTGCCATACCTAAACCTAAAACAACCAAGAGACTTGACAACATAAACTGACACTACTTGTAGTAACAATGAGGGTTTGATTTACATTTTTAGGTATTTATTATCATTATCGGAAATATCTAAATAGATGTGTCTGTAACGTAGCATTGAACGCAAAAAAGATTTTGGTATTATAGATGATTTATGCCATTATTTGCTGTGTTTCCGTTTTAACAACAAAAACTTAAAAAAAATTTGGGCCTCCACCACACAAAATAGCCAGCCCAACAACAACCACAAAACCGACAAACAGAAAACCAATTGAAACCAAAACGGGTGAGATAAATTTTGTTTGGTCTATTTGGTTTAGGTTATTGCTGACATGGCTTTTTTTGCCCCCCTCACAAATGCTGATGTGGATGCATGAGAAGGGAGAGAAGCCTACTTTATTGTATAAGATATGATTATAATATGAAGAATCCGGACCAAACCAGTATACAAAGCTATTATATTTCATGATAATAATTATATATATGTCATGTTAGTATCAATAATGAGTTAGTTTATGTAGATTTTGACCAATGGCAAAAGTAGTAATAATCTAGTAAATTAATGGTTTTTAACTAAAAGGGGTGAGAGTGATTGTAGAGCTGCCACGTGTAAATGTCACTCTTGTAAATCATATATGAAGGCAAGGTTTATTCTTGAAAATGCTCCCCTTTTAATATATAAGGGATTTAAAAGGTGGGGTTTGGTTTATAAAAGTCTATAAATAATATTTATATATTTACAAATTATTTTGAGGAGTTAGTTTAATTTTTCATCACAAATTTAAGTTATTTATGAAAGATGATTATCTTTTAAAGATAAATTTGAAAATGGTATAAAAACTATGGTAAAATTAGAATTCTCCCACAAATAAATGAAATAATCTCACTTTCCATATATACAAACTTGTAAGAAGGTGAAGAAAACTCACATAATGTTTTTTTTTTTTATCATCAATATAAACAAACTCATGGCACGATCCAAAGCAGATTTTAGTATGGGGCTTGAAATCATATTTATATTAATGTTATACTTAAAAACATTTCAATATTTTTTAGCAGTAATTGTTAATGAAAAAAAAATTAGGGTGGGGCACATGCCATACCTAGTCTTGTTGTAGGTCCGCTCCTAAACAGATTCATGAAAACTATGTAAACTAAATTAGTAACTCTGTATGGAAAACTGCATATTGCTATTAGTGAAGTTTCATACATGTTTATTTCCGGTCCCATGGGCTCAAGCCAGCTCAGATACGGTTTTACAAGGACTTACCACCAGTTAACAGAAACATACCATACCGATAATGCCGCTCAAGCTGCCTTAGTTAGGAAGCGGGTCAACCCTACCCCGCTTGATCATTTTTTATTTTTTCGTTTAGTTAAGTTTTCTTAGTTCTTTCACCAGAAGCATAACTTGTCAATGGAGTATTATGCTTGTTTATGGCATTTTGTTTGCACCTAAGTTTATTTGGCAGTGAAAGGAATACACAATCAAAGCAGACTAAATGAAAATTAGCAAACTCTGCTTGGATTTATTGGAATGAAATCAGGAAAGAAAAATCAACACTAAAGACTTTTTTGAACAGTTTCCATTCGTCTTCTTCTTCTTCTTCTCTCCTCTCGGCCTGCAGATTCTTACATCTTGTTGGCTTATTCCCTTGGAAAAGCAACCAAAAGACCAACGGCTAAGCAAAACCAATGCCTAGACTTTTCTTGAAAACCTTAAACCTCCTTGACATAAGTCTCTTCACTTCCTCCAATAACAGCATCATCAGGGATGTAACGTTTCCAGAATGGATGCTGCTTCCACACTCTTCCCATTTCTTCAATAGGAACCCCTTTCGTCTCCGGCAACAAGAAGTAGATGAAGATGGTCATGATCAGAACCATACCTCCAAAGAAGTAAAAGAGACCAAACTTCATGTGACAAAGCATCGTGAGGAAGAATTGTCCAATGAGAAAAGTGAAAAACATATTGACAGAAACATTGACGGCTTGTCCCGCTGGCCTGATTTCCAAAGGACAGATCTCACTTGGCACTAACCATCCTAGTGGACCCCATGACCATGCAAATCCTGCTACATATATGCATATGAAAGCTAGCACCCAATCTGCTGTTGCAGGTGTCAAGGTCCCTGATCCTGTGGTTCCAAACTTCACACCAATCAAGGTACCAACAATGATCTACAAAATCATCCACCAAAAAACACATGTTAAGGTACGCAAGCATCATTACAGAACCTGATGATGTTTTGTTCACACCGGCTAAGCAAACTTCTCTTTTCTTTTCACCTGGCAAATGATCATTTGGATGCCACCTTCAAGGAACAGAATCCTTCTTCCATACCTGTCAACCGCATAGATGGAGACAAGAGTAGAGACAACATTGACCACACCAGTGATGACCGCAGAGATGAGCGAGGCATCATCAGCGAAACCGAGAGTTTTAAAGAGAACAGGAGCATAGAACATGATCACATTGATACCAGTGAACTGTTGGAAGAAAGGTATTGCAGAACAGAAAGCAAGAGCAGGTCTGTATTTAGCTTGTAGGAAAAGGTTCTTCCAAGGGTGATCCACTTTTTTAGCAGCCTCACAAGCATCACAAAGATCTTGAAACTCCTCATCGACATTATCAGCTCCACAAATCTTTTGTAACATCTCTCTTGCTTGTTCATACTTGCCTCTCTCGAGCATTGAGTTTGGCGTGTCTGGCAAGACAAATGATCCTATAACCATTACAACTGCTGGAACAGCAGCTAGACCTAAAGACACTCTCCATCCGTTCCTAGCCATTTTAGATGTTCCGTAGTTAATCAGGTTTGCAATCAGAATGCCAATAGTAATAGCCATTTGAAATCCTATGTTGAGTGCTCCTCTGAGCTTGGCAAGGGCCATCTCTGAGAGGTAAACTGGAGTAGACTATGGAATACAAAATAGAAAGATATCGATCAGCCATATACTGTATATAAATCAAACCAAAACCGGAAAAAGAATAAACTAAACCAAACCAACTTGAGAAACTGATTGTCGGATTATGCATGGGTATTTCGTGTGTTGGTTTGGTTTAAATCAGTTATTTCAGGTATCATATGAGTCAGGTCAGGAGCTTACGATCCATTTAATAACAAAAATCAGTTTAGATATTCCTCTGTTCTTCCATTTGGGTAATAAAATAAAGGGAAATTGCCAGAAATAACACTTTCAAAATACCACTTTTCAACTTTACACTAACCAACTTTACCATTAAAATTTTAATAGTCAAAATACTATTAGAATTTAGGGTTTAGGGTTTTAGGTTTAAGATTGATAGTTTAGGGTTTAGTGTTGATTTTTTAGGGTTTAGGGTTTACTTTTTAGGGTTTATAGTTTAGGGTTTAAGGTTTAGAATTGATATTTTAGGGTTTAGGGTTAATTTTTAGGGTTTAGGGTTTACTTTTTAGGGTCTAGAGTTTAGAATTGATGTTTTAGAGTTTAGGGTTAATATTTTATTTAATTATTATTTTATGTATATTTATAAATAACAAAGATATAAGAGTCTTTTATTCTTTAATAAAATGTGTATTTTTGAAAATATTCATTTCTTGATGGTAAACATGAAAAGTGGTACCATCAAAATAGTATAATTGAAATTCTTCCTAAAATAAAAACTGACTAACAACCAAAAAAATGGATTCAAGTTGGTTTTGATTCAAATAGGTTTCTTTTGGATAATTCAGATAAAATACTGGATAAGATTGATAAAATATCGCGTAAACAAAAAAAAACGACCGATCATCCATATATTAATCAAACCAAAACCGAAGAAACAATAAACTAAACCGAACCAAATTGAAAAACCGATTGCTCAGATCTAAATCACATGAGAACCATGTTGAGTGACTCACCTGATTAGCAAACCCAACACCAACTCCAAGCAACAGTCTACCGATGATGAGCACTGCAACGTTCACTGCAAATGCATTGAATAGAGCACCAATGAGGAAAGCAACACCTCCAACAAACATGGAGATTTTGCGTCCGTACTTCCTTGTCACAATTGAAGCTGCAAAGGAAGACACAAGGGCAGCGAGGTAAAGTGAGGACGTAAACAACTGGAGCAGTTGGTTATCAAATTTGCAGTAAGCAGTCTCGCGTCTAGCATTGTGCATTTGCCTATCCACTTCCGGGAAAAACTTGCCAGAAACTCCTCCATTGATGTCACTCCTCCTGCACAAGAAACCACATTACATTACTCGAATGTCCACTTCTAGAAAAGAAGAAAATCTATGTTTAAATTTACAGACCTGAGATTCCTAGGTCGTAACCGAAGAGGAGACCTCCCATAGCGGCCACAATACATGTGATGATGACAAAGCCAGTGACTCCACCTTCATAGCTTCCTCCACTACCACCATCTGACACAAAGGCTCCTCCAGCCATTCTTCACTTGTTAGTTATTTGCTTTATTAGTAGTTATTGCCTTGTGCTTTGTTATTCAAACAAACACTTGAGAACTTGTGATTCGAAACTTAAGAGCTGGTGAGCTTCTTAAATACAAGATTTCATGTGATCTATTATTAGGAATGGATTGTGATCTGAGCTGTTCGTGTTTTATCATGGCTTACGAATAGGGAATGTTATCTTGTTTTTTTCTTTTATGTTTTCTTAAAACCTGTTTTCGTGGAGACTTGACTCTCTTTTTATAGAATGTTTTATTTATTTTTTTCACAGACAATTTCCGCTCTTATTCCGTTGTTATGTTAAGACCGTGTAAGATATCAGTATAAAAGACAGTTACTGACAGAAAATAGAATCTTTTAATAAAAATAATGATAATTGTTTTTGATGTGATAAATAATTGGATATTTAAATATAGTGTTAGTGAAAATTGTAAGAAAACAAAATCTATTTGAAGATTATTTTCTTTTAGGTTGGTTTAGATTTGATGCATGTCACTACTTGTCACTGTCCCTATTAGTTTGGCAGATAACATTGACCAACATGTCTGATTTTATCTTTTTTTGGTTAAAACATGTTCGAATTTTGAAGACACCTAAACATTTACACAGAAAAAATTTGTTATAATTTGGTTATAAAGGAGAGCCAATCATCATTAGGGGGATGACGTACTTTTCTCTATTGTGACATGAACTGGTTTAAAATGTATTAGTGTATGTAATAACCTAAGTTGAGTATGTTATCTAGCGCCAGACAACAAATCGGAACCCACCATACCTGAACCGAAACTGGTTAAATATTTGAAAATATTCAAAATTTTGGTATCTAAAGAATCGAAACCGTACCTGAACCAAAATAATTGGAGTATTCTAATATATCAGAATCAATTTTGTATATTTGAATATATAAGCTACTTCTAAGGTTAATATCCAAATGCATATAATATTTTGAAACTGTCCAAAATATTTGAAAATATATATAAATATTGAGAAAGGTAAATTTCTAAAATAGTTAAACACTACGCAAAACACCAAAATACATATAATGTCTATTGATTTTCCATCCAAATGTTCAAGTGAAACCAACTTTTATGTTTAATTTAGGTTTTTTGGCGTACAAACACTCAAATTTATATGTTATATATTAATTTTATTTTTAGATTTTGAGAAATTTAAAGTAGGGCTTTTTGCAGAATTGACCTGAAACTTGAAGTCAACCACAAAACTAACCTCCTTTTTTTTTGGAATTTTATTTTGCCCAATTCACCCCACAAGTTCATATAATTCACGAAAATACCATCAATTTTTTTTTTTTTTTTTCGAAAATAACATATTTACTCTCTCACCCTCATCATCTTCAAGTAATTACAAGATTGTCATTGTCATCAATACTCCAACAACCATGAACAACCAATTTTGAAGCTCTTAATGCCTCCAAATTCCATTTACCCTTCTTCTTTCTCTATTCTCATGAACTAAACAACACATTACAACACATATCTCTC